AGCACTTATTTTGTCCAATGTGATTCTAAAGAGAGTCTCAGGTCATACCTGAATCTATTTTTCAGGTTAATTTTTTAAATGTACATGTAAATATTTATCATAGAATACTTATAACAATTGTTCATTTTTTGTCGAGTTGCTATTGCTTAAAGAAATCTGTGCTTGCAGTATTTGCCATGGGTGATTTTCATCTTGGGAAAGTTCATTTAACCAGACAATGCATATAGATTTTCCCCAAAGTATGAAAATGCTTTCTCTGAAGAATTTCAAAGTTACAAAGTTGATCAGAAAATTAATTCCATACATGTGGCCTAAAAATGTATACTTTAAAAGCCCCCTGGTCAGTCAGCTTGTTTCCAACGCACCTGCTGCTATAAGAGAAGTGAAGTGATTAATCCCTTCCTGTTGTTGCTGATATCATGAGAAGCTGGGGGAAGGGGAGTGGGCATGAAAGTCCAAACAAGGGGAATCCCAGGGAGAATAGTGAACCCAGCCAAACTCACAGGGTGAGGGAAAAAGTCAAGGTTTAAACAGAGCAGAGTTTGCAGTTAGAATTTCCACTTCAAGGTAAAAAGATATGTGTCCAAAAGTAAGGCAGAAAATATGATATTGGTCCACAAAGGAAAGAAAAGACAAGATGAAAGAAACAAAAGTCACTGGGGAAAATGGAGCACATTGGAACAGTGTCTAAGAGGATGAGTTGCCTCCAATTGGCCCACTTCCTGGGAAAACAGAGAAGGCAAGGACCCAGCCTCTAGTCAAGCAGAAAACCAGTTAGTGGGATCTCAGAGCACCAAGTCCAGCTGCCACAAGACCCCTGATGCTGAAACAGAGAAGCAGCTGCCATTCAGCACCTTACATTCTCAGAGTTGACTCCAGAATAGCAAAGTGATTAAGAGATTAAGAGCACCAGCTGAGGACTCCAATTGCCTGGACTCAAATCACAGATCTGCCACCTGCTTGTCGGAGGGCCTTGGGAAGGCCCCTCAGCCTCCTTGTCTGTAAGCTGTAGAGTGTACGAATATCTGCCTCATGGGGTTGTTACTGCCTCATACATAGAAAGCACTCATTAAGTATTGGCTTCTTTGTTGTTCATCATGATCCTGTGATAGAAAAGGTAACAGACTAGGACTCGGAGGACTTTGTAACTTCTACCAAGTGACTTCTCTTCCCTCATCCTAGTACCATCTTCTTTAAATTGAAGAGATCATATTAGATAACTGGTTCTAACCCTGAGTGCACATGAAAGTCACATAAAAGCTTCCAAAATAGATCAACCCTTGGGCAGCCGCTCAGGCCAGCTTGAATCAGAACCTCTGGGGCATTGCCGGGGCATCCGCATTTTCAAAGCATCCCAGGTGATTCTGACGCACAGGGAGTGTTGAGAACCACAGACTAGATGATTGGAGAGTCACAAGTGAGCTCAGAGTCTAGAGGTTTCCAACCTCTTCCGTATGGGTGGCTCCGGGACCAAAGCCATTTAATCATCCACCTTGTGAGACTGAGAACCCCCATTCCTTCTCGAAATCAGACCAGGTGTGGAAGTGCCACGAGAACGAGGAGCTCTTACAGAAGGTCTTAGTTATCACTCAGTTTTGTTGCCAAGAGAAATTTAGAATAATTGAATGAGAAGAAAAAAAAAAACTTCCAGAAGCCAACCAGTGAAGCCCTTTGTCTCTAAAGAATAGAATACTAATTCTTTTTCTCCTTTGACACTGTTACACCTTTTTACATAAAGACAGGAAAGGCAAAAGGGAAATTCTTTGTTTGTTGTAAGGAAATCAGGAGAGATCATGTGAATGAAACAGAGGGTCTTGATGAAATATAATGCATCACTATCTTTATTTGAGATTAGATAGATCTATGACCCAGAGAAAAGAGTATGTGTGCTTCAGAAAGGTGTTCAGCCTGTCAGGTAAGTGGTGTGTAAATCCTGCGCACTGACCAGTAGTGAGCGCACGTGTGTGTTGTAGGGGGGAGGGTGCGCTAGGATGGTTGTGACAAGATGCTGTTTATAATTCATAGAATAGACTGTCTTAGAAGGTGGAGATTCATTCTGTTATGTGTTTACTTCACATAAAACAGTCAATTCAATCCCACCACCTGGGATATTTGATACACTGGAAAAGTAGGGCATTTATGCCCATTGGCATAAGAAAAAGCAAAGCATTATGTGCTCCACCAAAATTGTATTAGATACATCTATCAAAATCCATCAAATTGTACCTCTGAAATATGTGTAGCTTACTGTAGTGAAATTATACCACAATAAAGTTGTTTTTAAAAAATGGTATTAGAACCACTCTCCTTTTATTGCAGACAATGCCATACAACTAAAAAGAAACTCAAAAATTCCAATTATATCTGGAGTCAGATTTTTAGCATCATTAAAGGTAACTCTTGGTTTTAATAAAGATAAAAGACAAGATCTTATAGTAGCTCACAGCAAAAAAAGAAGTCACAATGAATATATGTATGTTCATGTATAACTGAAAAATTGTGCTCTACACTGAAATTTGACACAACATTGTAAAATGACTATAACTCAATAAAAAAGATGTTAAAAAAGATTAAAGAATTAAATAGAATCTCCAATAAAATAGCTCATGCATTGCTCCATAGTAGGAACCCACTGGCTGAACAGTGGCAGGTAATTTTCTTCAAACTACAGCAAGCTTTCTAGCAACCTGCTGCCGGATTAACAACTCACTACCTAAACAAAGTCACTGGGAGCCAGTAAGAGCTCTTACATGGAATGAGCCTTTCTGTCCCCTTCCTCACTGCCTCCCCCAACCAATTCACACATACCACCACAGGCTTCTTCAAGAATTATTGCTTCCAACAGCTGGCACAAGTCTGTTGTAGGACTCTCTCTTGAACCACTTAACAAACTGAATGCTCATGACCAAGACAGAGGTCTGCAGAGAATAGGAGGTGGGGTTCTAAGTTGTCAGCAGGAGCAACAACAGACCAAAACTCCCGGTAGCATCAAAGGATCTGGCTACAACAGTACCCGTGGTAATAGATCACAAATTCAAATGCTCCAAGGCATCTTCTCCCAGGGAATCATCTCAGCAGCATAGAAACCAAGAACCATGCATGTATAACTATTCAGGGCCCCCAGCCTAGCTCTTCTTGGGTTGCCAAACTCCACTGGCCACTGAAGCTTTTGGTTCCACTACAGGACCTTGGAGAACAGCCTCAATTGGCCTTTTGACCCTGAATCTCTTTGTTCTTTGCTCTCAGTGAATCTTAGGCTGCCGGGGCAGCTAATCCCCTGCAGGGCTACATTCGACACCTTTCACCCAAACCTTTCACAGTTGTCTAGGTAGTGGTCTTCCCTGAACAACTGCTTACAAGAAAGTGGTTGCAAATATGGGCTAAATGAAGTCAAATTGCCTGGGTTGGAATCTCAAATCTACCACTAAGCAAGTTACTTATCATCTATAAACCTCATTTTTCTAATCCATAAAACAAGAGAGAAAAATAGTGCCCCTAGGGTTGTTACGAGAAGTAAATAAAATCATCCATGTAAAGTGTCTGGCACAGAATAATCTCCAGGATATGCTACTATTATCATCACTTATGTACACTAAATAAGCATACATAGCTCTATGATACATACATTATGTAGACAATAGATACTAGATGTTAACATTATATTATCTATTATATCTTACATAAGAATCAGGATTCAGATGCCCCGGTCCCTAGTAGGAGCCCCTGGTGTGCCGGGCAATGATCTCCGGCATGAACAGACTATGGAAGGTAGGGATGGGTCACAAAGGTGAGGGGCCCCCAAAGAGTGAATGCCACCAAGGCAGCTGGCTTCCTTAAGAACCAGAACAAACAACAGGCTGTGACCCAGGCAGTTGGTCTGGCGGTGTCCAAACCAGAAGATGATATCCATCAAGACAGCATGTGAAAGTTAAGCTTACTGTGTAAAGGCCCCTCCCTTGTCCAAATTCCGGGCTGCTCCTGAAGCATGTGTCACTCACTAAACAGTTAATGAAACACGAAGGGCCTTGAATATCTCCAGGGTCACATTTCAAGACTTATAGAATAATTAGGAAAAATCTGAGCTGGCAAAACTCCTCCTGGCTGGCGCTGGCAGGCAGACCATCTTTGTTTTCCATTAGTGTGTGTTGTCGTCACAGTAACTGCAAGACTCCAAATACAGGCCTGGGGTGTCATTTCCTCCTGTACTTAGGCTGCCACACTGAAATAGCATCATGAACTCAGCCATGCCTCTTCTCTTCCTGTTGTGCTGTGGTCCCTCAGTCAAAGAGGCAGGCCCTAAAATGAGTTACTTAAGACATAAGCATATTAAAGAGCTAGAAAGAAAATAAAAAGAGATAGAAAAAAAAATAAAGTCCATTTATCCCTATTACTATGTTGTCTATGACTCATGTGTGTGTCAGGATGGGGGGGTGGGAACCTTAGTTTTGCAAAGATCTTTTAGATAAACAAGGCAAGCTGGCAGTAACTTGATTGTCTTGGTGATGTCAGCAGTCTACTGTTTTCAATCAAATTGCCTTCTGGCTTTAAATCTGCAGCAAGTCATTTTTTAAAGAATGCATCTGGCCAACCTGAGATGTCCATTTCATGGCTTTCTTTCACCTTTTCCTCACAAAGATAGTAGCAGATAATTCACTTCTTCAAAGTAACTGGGAAACATTGCAATTACAAAAACGGCAAAAGAAAAAAAAAAAAGACTATTTTCAAATGTAGACATATAAGGTCCCTGACCAGTGAAGCAACAATGGTTTTCAACTATGTTTTGGTAAAGGAGCCAGGTGACAGCATTTAAGCAAAAAAGCAAAAACAGAAAAATCTCTGAACCTTAAGGGCTCAGTGAACATCAGATCACTGGAGATAAATTCTGCATTAGCTTTAAAAATGCTTTATAAAGTCTGTCTTTCACAGATCTCAGAAACCCATAAATCACCCAATATTATACACATTGACACCATTTCCCGAAAAGGAAATGCAACACCAACCTTTGACTTCGCAGGGCTGCTGTGGCTTAAACAAAGCTCTCTGGAACTGGAGTGCTGGTTAATGTCGTGTTTCTTCATCTCTCTGCTGGGAGTTTCTCAAGTTCTGCAATCAGCTGGTCAACAGCCAGCTGGAGCTGCCCTATTCATGTTTGACTTTCCTTTTTCTGAATTCTTACCCAACTTGCTGCCTAGCCTTTGAAATTACAGTGCCTCAGCTGCTGCCCTGGGGAAGGTTGTATTCTGCCTGCAGCCTTTTCTCTTCTCTGATTAGCCAAAGGATAGGACTGACCATTTAAGGAAAAAGAGCATAATCCAGTATATTTTCCTGAAGTTCCTCTATTTTTGCCCTAGGACCTGTATAATGTATTCTGTACAGCCAGGAAAGTTCTTTCATTATTTTCTTTCTTCTCTTTCCTTCCTCTCTGTCTGTCTGTCGGTATTTCTTTCTTTCTTTCTTTCTTGAAGCATAGTAAGTTATAATGTGTCAATTTCTGGTGTACAGCACAATGTCCCAGTCATGCATATACATACATAAATTCATTTGCATATTCTTTTTCATTAAAGGTTATGACAAGATATTGAATATAGTTCCCTGTGCTATCTTCTTTCTTTCTTTCTAAAACAAGGTCTTCATTAGAGAATGGCCATTCTAAAATTCAATTTCCGTTATCTTTTAGAAACTCAGCCTTTCAACTGCAAAAAGTAAAGCAAAATAGACAGGTCTAAATCATAAGTACCCTGCATAAGGTTTGTTGGCACTAAAGTTATGGAGAAATTTCCCCACTTATAAGAGTGTGTCTTAGATTTTGTTAAGTTAAATATACAGAATAGTAAGCACCTCATAATCTACTCACACATCTTTATGATGTTAACATTTTTTTTTGCCATGGAATATGCTTTCCTGTCATGTTTAAAAAGAATGACTAGGATTAACAGCAATGAACAGCAAGAATTCACTGGTATTTGGTGAGGCTGAAGCTAGTGTGAGATGACCTTTTTTGGTCTTTTCATTTTTATCTGTTACTAGGTTAGTAAAACAAAACATCTAAGGGAAGAAATAAAGAATGATAAATTTAATAATATAACCCTCCTTGGAGGAGGAAATCTCCCTTACATACATTATCCAGTGCAGTCAGCTATAAGAGACACCCAAGCACTATGTATAAACACGCTTTATCTCCAAGTGCAAATATAGAAACCATAGAGCAGTCTATGCTGTGGGTGATTTCTTGACCTTTTTAGTAATGATTCTATAAGACAGCACACTGGTGAGTGATAAGGGAGGGTCTGAAACATAAATTCCACACTAAGTTATTGGCTGGAGTTCAAACTATGTCTGCTTAGAGTACCCAGCAGCAAAGTATGTCCTAAACAGGATTCCCAAATTTAAACAATACATTCTCCTGCCTTTCCTACGATCTATGAACTTGAGTTCACGGACCATCTGTATCCAAGAATTTCGTGGGCAACAGAGAGTAAAACAAACAGATAACTACATTTAAGGTGCAGTAATAAAACAATAATAGCTTGAATTTATTGAAAAGCCTACCAGGCAGCTCTAAGTTTTATTAACTCATTTAGTCTTCAAAATAGCTCTATGAGGAAGATAAGTATTATTATGCTCATTTTACGATGAGGAAACTGAGGCGCAGGGAGTCATTTGCCCAGGAGCACAGTGCACTGAAATCTGAATTGAGGCCATCTGACTTGCCTATGCGACTAGCCTTTCCCGCCTCCTCCTTCAGGTCAATGGCATATCTTTGTTGCTGTGATGTCAGCTCCAATTTAAGGAAACAAAATGAAGAAAACAATGCATTTTATTAGCTCATCTTTTATTCCATTGCTATATATCTTAAAAATAATTAAGGTATAAGCTAATGTATGCTGTAGGCTTTTAGATATTGTTTTTCTAACAAGTTGTTAACCAATCTTTTTCCCCTTAAATCTTCCTGCTGAAATAGATTTCAGCCTAAGCATGCCTCCTCACTTCCCGTGGTGCTACTTTCTAAAAACCCACGTGTTTAGAGAACTAAGATGAGACAAATAGGTAAAAATGTCCGTTAAACAAGCTCTGTAAAATCCTAGTTCTTAAGCCGCCTGTTCTATGAAGAAATGCTCATCTTCCAAAAAAGTCAGTTAACATTAGTTGAGACCATGTATTTTACCACAAAGTTTCACTTCTAAAGAATAAGTAAAAATTATAACCACAGGGAGACCATTGCTAAGTGAGTATATTAAATAACTCACAAATTTCATTGAGAAAAAATCTCATAGTGATTCTTGTGGGACATCCATTTAAGAGAGTAATTTCAACCTCCTTGGCTATCTTAAAATATAAAGAGAAAACTTTTCTTTTGGTGAACACAGGAAAAAAAAATTGGCTCAAAATCGTGATTCATGCTTTATCTCACACTGTAAGGCTGCAGGTTTCATGAGTCATTTAAAATAAAACTGAGACATGTGTTTTGTTAAAATATCTAGGGAAAAATAAAAAGGGCTAATAGCATGACATTTAAATATTTTAATGTTCAAGGCCAGATTTTAATCCATGATGACCCACAAATGGAAGAGACCATGATTTAAATGAATAGTACCAAAGCTAACTATAAATATAATCTAGTATTAAAAGATGATGAAAGTAAATGGGTTATAGTATTTAGAGGTCTAAGTGCATTTGCAGGAGATGCATATATATGTGTGTGTGTGTATATATATAATGTATATATGTGTATATATACAGTCTTTATATATGCCCCTTTCTACGTCATTCCCGAAAGGTCCATCATCTCCACAGTCAGGTTCACAAGAACAGTCACAAATTACTTACAATTTTTCTGTGCCCGGTAAAACCATGAAGACCTTCCTTGAGAACTTTCTGAGATCAAAAAGCTGTTAAGCACACTTACAGTTGTCTGTCTTGATTTTGTACTTATTGATACTTTTTCACATACGCATGATTAGAAATCCAGAGCCGAAGATGTTCACAGTACACCCACGACGTGCACGGGGCTGAGCAACTCCAAAGTCAGGGGATGCTTAGGACAGTCCTTTGTACCTAGTCGCCTTCACAAAATTGTTCTGAATTTAAAGAGACAAACCCTACTCCAAAGGACCCTAGTTCCAACAGAGCACCAAACAGCCCAAACTAAGAAGGAATGGTCTGGGAAATTACTGGAGAGTGGAAGACACTGATCTGTGTTTTCAAGAGTGGACAGAGTTCTCCACAGAAAGTCGGGGGTAAGTGTTCCAGGCAGGGGCAATGAAACAGGCAGAGGTGGAGCATTGAAATGTGCACTGCACAGTGTTTGGAGAATGGCCCGATATCTGAATTATCTGAACCAGAGGGACACTTGCTGTTGAGTCGTGGGGGCTGAGACTGGAAAAGTTAAGTATGTGCCAGGTGATGGAAGGTTTTCAAAATACCCAGCCTCAGTGTTTGGCAGCAGCTGGGAGTCCCAGAAGATAACCGAAGAGTAGAGACAAGCACAGAAAAATGAACCTCAGTGGTCACGGGCAGAGCGGTTTGGATGGCAATGGTGGGGGAAGGGTGCAGGAGCAGCAGGGTTATAATCCAGGCTGAGGATGGAGGGAACGGGCCTCAGGGTGGTGGGAGACATGGCAGTGGAGTCCAGCAACACTTACGGTGAACAGGAAAGGGAAGATTCCAAAATAACACAGAAATGTGTATTCGAGTCAACGAGAGAACAAGTCTGCATGGCTGATTGTTCATATACCGGAGGAAAGCACATGCTCTAATCTGAACTATTTTTGATTCTCAAGGGTAAACATACACTCATGAAGACAATGTTACTCAAAAATCAATTCATCAGGAAAGAGGGCTTTCCCTCAGGGCCAAGTGCTGGACTCAGGATCCTCACACTGCTCCACTGACTCCAAAAGAAATCACACGCCTCCAAAATCTACTAATGGCAGATTTTGACCTTAAGCATACATTTGTAAGCCAACAATGTGACCCTTCCGAAGATAAAAACAAGAAAAATGTAAAGCATTTAGTTCAGACTTTTCAAAACTCTTTACAAAGATACTTCATCTCCACTAAAGCACCAGAAGTTTCATTCTCTGCTACCAAGGCCACCAGAGTGCATGGTGCACTGTCACATATATGCATTCATTATATATGATTAGCTGCATTTACTCTGTAAACTAATCATGTAATCAGAATCATGAAATACAATACATACTGAAATGTATGTACTATTTCACTTTTCTGAGTATATGATAGATAAGCTTTAATTAGTTTTTCTAAAAATAGGAACATTTACTGAAAGGGTTGATGCATTCTTGTCAACAGTTTGTTCAAAACTGGTCTTGGGTAAATTCTTTAATTTGACAAAATAGACTCAAAAAATTATTTTAAAATGTGCATTTGTATCCCCTTTGAAATTATCCTTAATTTAGGATATCCATTCAAATCATCTTGCTCATTTAGAGGAGCAAATGTCTTACGCAAATCCAACCCAACTACAGATAAGAGGTATCAACATTAATCACGTCACCAATGTACAGCCACAACTTTTGTCAGATTCAGTGCAATAGTAATCACTCTACGCAATTCTGATAAAACTGCTTGGCAACTCATGGAAGGGGAGACAATATAACAGATGAAAGGAAGATCTCCTTTATGTTACGGTAAACACATTCATACACACATACATGCAAGTTAAGAAAGAATTTTTCCCAATACATGCAATCTGAGTTTTAAAAATCAGAATCTGTCTATCCTAAATACAAACAATGACTCAACTTATTT